AAGATTCATGTTTTATAATGGCTTAATCAAAGCCATACCAAGACAAACCAATGAAAGAATACATGGCAAGACTTTAAAAGCTGTTTTCAGATATTGTCCACCTAACATGACCGAACTTGAATCAAAGTCCGTAGATGTTCCAAGCTGGTAGAGGTTATACAGAGCTTTCACTGAATACAGATTCATACCAAACGTTTCTGGAGTTTTTATTTTAATAATACATTTTTAAAAATCCAGAATTATTTTCCTTTTACTTCATTACAAAGTTATTTTGTGTTGATTGGTTGCATTAAACAAAAGGAATTACCTTTAAAGTTGTCATTTTTAAACAAAGATGTGGGGGAGTCTGAAATAGCTGTGTTCCCTTAAGGAGAAAATAATTACAGTGTTTTCGATGTTCATCGATTTCTTTTCTGATCCAGCGTCTCAGTCCACCAGCACACACTGAGACACTGAGCGGTAGATTAATCAGACACACTCGGCTACCATAACCCAGGTCCTTTCAGCCAAATGCTTGTTCCAGCACATTGATGTCAGTGGGACCGGTTCCTCCAACAGTGAGCCGAGTTCTGACCACCTGCAGCGATTTAAGGAGAGGTGGAAATATTTCAACAAAAGCTTAGGGTGGAAAAAAGAAAGAACAAATAAAAAAAGTAGCTCTGGGCTCCAGAAGCTGAATCAGCGGGTATCAGTTTAAAGTGGGGGGAGATGGGGGGTTGAATCCCATTGTAGGGTTTAGGTTGGATGTCAGAGCTCAGATTCTCAGATATTTAGATCCATGGTTACTATTTCCTTCCTCCCCTAGCACCCCCCCTGTACTCCCCAATCCCTTCTCTGTTTCTGCTGTCACCTTCTGACAAAATCAGACAAGTGGTATTCCTACTACGCAGATTATTATTAACTAACTGCTTTCTTACATCATCACTTTTATAAGTATCTGTGGTTAAAACATCCCATGCAGAAACATAAACAAAGGTCGAGTATAATGAAACAAAAAATACAACAAAAGTTTAGAGTTTTACCACAGAAAAGGCCATTTAATGTAAACCTTTGGTGTCATCTAGTGGTGAAACTTCAGTTTAACCTTCCATGTTGATGTATTTGAATGCAGAGTCACAGTTACCCTGAGACCTGCTAAATAAAACTTCCTAACAGCCTCTAATGTTATATTAGTTAAAAAAATAAAATAAAACAGATAATTATTGATGAACATCTGCTCAATTTATTCTGATTTTAGGTTTAACATTAAAACATTTGCAAAAAGAGGTTGGATACATCTTTTTTCCAGTGGTGCTGATATATGTAGAAATATCAACATAGAAAAATTATTTAATTTACATCTCTAAGGGATTATGGTTTCAGAGACTATAACAATGATTTTGACAGGGTGTGAGTTTTGGAATGATCCAGATGCAAGAAGCTACTCTGCCATGTTTCTGTCTCCAAGTCATCTGAATGACTTTTTAATGTTATGTGTTCAAATCTGGTCCTTTTGCTTCTCACCTTCCTGCATCTTCTCAACACAATGATCCTACCTGCCATCTATGTGCTTTGCTGTTGCATAATTATGGCTGTGTTTATAACTCGCAGAATAAATCCACTTTGCTCTGCCAAAGTCTCAGAGCTGATAGGCAGTATCACAAGAAATATCTTTACTTAAATTGTCTGTCTGCATCACTTTTGGACCTGCTGCTTGCATTTCAGTAGATCACCAACAGCACTAGGACTGAGAGAGTAACTAAAAAAAATAGCCATTTCAAATTCAATATTTAAATCTCACAGGTTGAAATCCAATTTAAAACGTATTTCCTAATTGCACTTTAGAATTTTTGAAAATAGAATTATTATAGAGGGGTTATAATTGAATTTATTCATCCATTATTAAATACTGGAATTTTAATTGTGTTTCTAAGTCCTATTTTTAAATGGAGTTTAAAAAAAACAAAATTCATCAATCGGATTTTAAAATACATTTCCTAATCACGCATTTCAAAAGGTTTTTCTTTATTCCATTTTCGTTTTCAACTTGCATTTTCAAATTCTTTTTGAAATTGCATTTTCATTTTGCTTTACTCACAAACAATAGCACTAGCCCCCCCTGTTTGGGATCTCAGTAGATCGGGGCTATGGTGTTAAACCCAGATGTGTCTATATCCTAATTTGATTTGGAGGCTTTCCAACTTCAGCCACCTTGATAAATTGTCAAACACCAGATGAAACTTTCAAAAAGCTGCTCCGCTATAAAAAAAAGGATCTGATTGCTGTAAAGTTCATAAAGATTTCCCATTCCATTCATCATATCCCAATTCTAAATCAATGAATCCGGATTTCCAGTCATTCCTACGGTCACAAGTGTGTGAAATCCATCACCTTTGTGTACATATGACTTCTACAAACATTAGTGAAAGAACTGGCTATTGAGATAATGATGCAGAATAATACAGATCTTATAGTTCTTATAGAATCCTGGTTCAATATAAATGTTCACCAGTGGACAAAATAAAATCCAAAACATGAGCAAACACTGTGAGCTTGGCAATCTCATCCAACATTAGTGACTGACCTCAAAGATATGCTTCTGAAAGAGTACATATATATGAGAGTTTGTTTTTGACTATGCGTAAGAAAGCAATTAAATGAATTTTGATTACTATTCAGATTACAAATAAATTTGTGAAATTCTTGCCATTTCCAAATGTTTTTCCTTCATTCAGTTTATTTAGTCTTATTAAACCAAAACGTCATCTTTTAAAATGCATTTACTCTACGTGTGATTGTAAGAAAATATCCAGAATAACTTGAGGAGGTAACAAGAAAAAGGCTTATTTCTGTGAAGCAGGATGGGTCAATTTATGTAACAACTTTTAAATACCGCCAGGTGGCAGTGTTGTTTCATGTTATTGGAAACAAGCTGCGCTTGACGATAGATAGATAGATAGATAGATAGATAGATAGATAGATAGATAGATAGATAGATAGATAGATAGATAGATAGATAGATAGATAGATAGATAGATAGATAGATAGATAGATAGATAGATAGATAGATAGATAGATAGATAAGAAATTATTGAAAATTAGTCAGAAAATATAGCTATAACTAACCCATGTAAGGGCAGAATTGTGCAAGCTGTTCAATTATCCACTGGATGTAATGAAAAACAGATAATAACACATAATTTACAAATGTATCCTATAGAATAACTATAATCCCACTTAAAACCTTTAACTTTTACTAAACGCAGTACACCCTTGTTATAACTATTATACATAATGATGATGTATTTTTTTAAGTTTCTTATGTCTTCAATAACAGCTTGTTTTCTGTGTGAAGTGCTCACCCTGCTGTTCACATCTAAATAAATAATATTAATTTAAATCGATTCTTTTTTACTCGTCAGCCCTAACTAAAATCGCTGGGCATCTTCCTGCACTGTGATTGGCCCGCTCGCTGATTGGGCTGTGCTCTGATTGGTGGAAAGTTTCAGGCTGAGAGTTTCCTCTCTACTCACTTTTGTTTTTTCGCCTAAGGCAAAGATTTCGACGGTGGAAAGTCGCTGGAGGCTGTTTAGGTCTGCAGTTCAGGTGTTTGGTCCATGGATACATGAAGAGTGGTTCTATTTTATGGTTCGGTGTGTTTTCTGCTCCTCTCAGTGGGCGCTCTGCACACAGACTGTCATTCAGAAACTGCAGACGCACATGTTGGCTGCTTGACACTTTTCCTGCTGTTTGCTTCATTGTTTTCTTTTTTATTTCTAACGGACGCGCATTATTCTCCTTCTGGACAAACATTTTGGACCTTGTTTCATTTTCAGACCCTAGAGAACCTCCTGCCTTACTGATGGTAGCAGTCTAAGGATCTTTATTTACTGTAAGTCTGACTTTACTTTAAAATACATTTTTCCTTAGAAGAATCTTCAAAGCAGGTGTAAATTTCTCATAATTATCTCTAATCTTTATTTGACATTCTCTGATTCACTTAGTAAATAAAGTTAGTTTATATCAATACATTTTTTATATCAACTTTTCAGGTTTTCCTGCATTTTCATAAAAAAAAATATATTTTAATCAGCACTTTTTTAATTTTCTGATTTTTTTTTTTTGACAAACTGCTCATTTTAATCCACAAACTGAGATCGTCATATTATTATTATTATTATTATTATTATTATTATTATTATTATTATTATTATTATTATTATTATTATTATTATTAATTATAACAATAATAATAATAATAATAATAATAATAATAATAATAATAATAATAATAATAATAATAATATTACGGGTTCTCCTTCATAGTGAGACTCTGAGAATAACAGATGCTGGTAAAACTCCAGCTTGAGAGGCACAGAAACCAAATCTCCTATAAGGGACAATTTATGTCCCAGAAAGACTGAAAGTGGCTACTGTAAGGAGAGACATGTGGACAGGTGGAGAAAATAAATCTCCAATGGAAAGCTCGGGAACATCTGGTCAGATTCTTGTCTCTAATAAGATGCACTAGATCTTTGTGGATCAGTGATATTTTCTGGCTTCAGTGTGTTCCCAAAAAATGCAACTAAAAGCAGTTAGGTTGCTTTTCTTGCTTTCAGGTGCAGAATTAATGCTGCTTATTTACAGTATTACTCTTGGCTATAACACATTTACCTTTCATACAGTAACAGAAGAAGCTGAAATCCATCTTGGCTGGTTAATCAGTTTAACTAGTCTGCAGCCTGCAGCTGAACAGACACAGATACCTCCCTCCTAACATGGCACAGTTGTGTTAAACTAAATATCCTTAAGTAGATGCAAAGATGCGTGGGGAGGGGAAAACTTTTAAAATTATAGTATGAAAAATGTTTTACCATCAGGGTTTCTGTGCAACAATTTCAAAAAAATTCAGGAAATTTGTTTTAAGTTCAGATATACTGAGATCAGAATAAAATCAAAAGAGGGAGATCATCAATCTGCAGAAGTATCAACCTTTTGTTTTTATTCTCTTCCAGGGTGATTCTCTCTCCATTTAAAAAAAATCCTAAATGGAGTTTTTGTGGATTTGTCTGCTGCTGGAGGTGATCATGATGTCCATGGCTGCCAGAGGTGAGTCCCAGAAGACCCAAAAACAGTAGATTAAATCCTAGAATAAGACCTTCTCCTCTATTCTTCCCAACTGGTTGGATATTTTGATAATATTGGTGTATTAATATATGATGATGGAGTCCTTTCAGTTGGAAGAGGTTTGAATGATCTGCAGGAAATAATTCCTAGAGGTTTAGAGCAGAACAATCATCATGCTCAAATGCTGCAGATTATTATTTTTTTAAACCAATAATGATTTATCTTCCTCCATTTACATGATAAAAGTGACAGAATTATAACAAATGTTATGTAAGTATCAATTTAAACATAAAAGAGAGTTACCAACAGATAGAAAATGCAGGGAATGTGTGCGCTTCCTGTGAACTAAAGGCATGGCTGCTGATTGCGCTCGTCTTTAATCATCTGATTCTTTCTTGATGGAAAATATGAGTTCTGAGAAACGGAGTGGAATCAGTAAAGAAGGAGCGCTTTGGAGTTTGGCTTTTAGGTGATGGACCTGATCAGCGGCTGTAGGTTTCTGTCTCGTCAAAAGTAAAAGTTTTAGAAAAAGCATCCAAATATTTATTCAGTGTTTTTGAATCTGGGTTTTTTTTCTACATGAGCTGTTTGATGGGAAGCTTTTTAGGTCGTAAGTGGAAATTATTTAGATTTTTGTTTGGTCTTATTGTTTATAGAGAAGGAGCTGGCTGTTTCTATGCTCACCTGCTTCAGTTTTCCTGTCCTTCAGTTTTGCAAAGCAGCTCGTTCTCCCTGATAGTCGCCATTGCTGTTGTTCAGAGTAAAGTCTCAAAGTTTGGCTCCACAGCCTGGGACTGAGTGGAGATCTGGTTTCTACCAGCTGCTCCAGATTGAAGGTCGTAGTTGTAGAGCAAAAAGCAAAATTGCTTTTTTTGTTTTGTTTTTCTTTATAAAAAGTGGGGAAAAAATATGCCGTCATATTTTTAATAATAACATAATACCTACTTGTAGCTGGAAATTGACTGAACATTAATCTTTATTTACCTCCTGACATGCAGAGCTGCAAACCTTTGTTTTCTGTGTTGATGCTCCTTCTGGTGCTTTTGTCTACCTCCAAACTAAAAAGAAAGAGATGAAGCAGCACCTAGACAGGCATCTGATGGATGAGAGTGAGCTTCAGCCTGCAGGCTTTATAAGCAGACAGTCGTGGAGTTGGCACCCGCTGCAGAGATCACACTGAGGATGAGATTTTTTTTTTTTTGCAGGAACAAAGCTGCATTCAGCGAGGCGAGGCACAGCCAGCGCGCAGACACGGGGCAGAAAGTAAACACAGGGCCATGGACCGCAAAGAGATGAGATTAGATTAGCCTATTAGGGATGTTTGGTGTAAAATGCAGCAGCATTTCATCCCCCTCTGCCTGCTGTGTGTCAGCGAGAGTATGGAGAGATACGAGGCGAGGGATAAGGCAGAATAAAGTTAGAAGGTGATGAGAATGAGGGTGACTGGGGTTAGGAAAGGATGAAATGAAGGAATGAATGAGGGGAGTGATGGCCGACCATGGTTTCCTTCACAAATCAACTGTGAATCAGCAGACAGATTTAAATAAAACAATTTTCTTTATGTTTTACTGTCATTTTCAGCTGATACTGCATCATTTTCTTGGCCTGTAGGATTTCCTGCTCGGTTCAGTTTATTTAAAGGAACCATAACCTGGCATTTAAACATAATCAATATCCTGAAAACATCTTCAAATTTATGCTGAAGCATTTTTAGGAGGTGAATAATAATTTACCCCCTATTTCCACAAGAATCTAACTTCTACTGTATGGACGTAGCTGTAGCAAAATTAGCAGTTGCCATGGTTTATGTGCAAATGTTTCCTGGTAACTTAAACAACAGATAAAATGTTACACAAGCGGCAACAATAAGTGAGTGCCTGCAGGTTGAGGCCCTGATTGTAGTTATAGAGGCAATGTTGATGAAAGCAAGGTGGGCTAATGTTAGCGCCCTTCTAGGAATCAATCAAATCCAGGAGGAGGACCAAATTTTTTCTATTGTGGCTTTTCTGATTTGAAAAAAGAGCTTACACAGAAAAAAGCCAAGGCCCTCTGACGCTGATTTTATGACCAGTTTTAATCAAAAGCCCAACACAGACATTCTAACATGAAAAAGTCACATTTCAAGGTGAAGCATCAGAGGAAAAAGAGCTGATTGATCCATAAGAAAACACAGATTCCTCTAAGCCTTTTCATTAAAAAAAGACAAAACACCATGGTTACTTTAATCTGGAGCTTATTTAGAGGTTTATGTTGGATGCAGCAACTTTAGCCAAATGCCTTTTTAGCATCTTACTTAGACTTCATCTCCACAAACGCTGCTTGTTTAGATATGAGCTGTGCTAAATGTATGAACTTAAACAAAAAAGGTTATTTTTACATTTTCTGTTTTTTAATTTTGAAAAAAAGAGCATCTTTGAAACAGCAGTGCATTCAGCGACCTGAAGCTGTAAAAGGGATTCCTCCATCATGCACCAGGTACACCTCCCTGAGATTCCAACACTGAACCGATTTTAGGCATTTCCGTATAAAATTGTTATCATATTAGTGGCATCTGGCCTTCAGATTCTGCATAAACACTAAAGCATTAGTTCTCACAGCTGATGTATATTCCTTGTGACCAAAGTCGTGCAAATATTTAACTGTAATCATAAAACTGAAACCAGTTATGGTGCTTTAATCAGAGCCATAGTGAAAATCATGGATTTACTACAATGCAAAAAATGTATTTATGCATACAAAATTATTTTACTCATTTATTTCTTTCAAATAGAGATCTAGTCTTGCTTTGTATTGCCCACATCTGTAAGATGCGTTAAATCATTGATCCCTCTCTTAATACATAAAGCAGCTTTTTAATGGATCTTTTAGCTTCCGTTCAGCCGATCACCAGTCTGGCTCAGACAGCTGATTCTGGTCGGCAGCACATTTATTAGAACCTCTTATTGTTCATGGAATATTTCCTGCTTGACTTTACAATTCATCAAACCACATTTTTCTGCTATTTACTGTAATACAGTAAAGGAATTTCATTATTTGGGCACAATATTTATGCATCAGGAATCAACAAACTGATGAAAGATGATTGCTGAGCAAATCGTCAGCGAGTCCCCCTTTCTTGTTTGTTCCACTTTCAGTAAATGCTGCAGCGAAGTGTTTATGAACGCGGATCATATTCACTCAGGGAGCTGGATGAACAATAAACGATCATATGCAAAACATCACAGAGTGCAATGAACCATTTAAAGCTTGGCCTCGTTTACAGGCTGCAAAACGCTCGCTCATCTATTAATCTGGGGAGGTTAACAATCCTTCTACAGTGACAGTGAAGAGTTTGAGAGGTGAAATGAATCTATAATTTTTATGCTTTCTGTGGTGCTGCTTTGTTTCATGAGAGAAAAAAAGAGTGTGGAGAGGTGGAGATAAAACACAATGTCTACGCCATGATGGCAGCAGGTGTGTCCGTGGAGCTGATCCAGTGCAGCTGAGAGATTAACGGTTTCCCTGTTAGATGGACTGACCACAGGGGTCATTCATAGAGCTGGGGGCAGAACACTGTTTATCTCAATGATGTTACTGTATGTTTCAGAGAAGGTTTAATACACTTCAGGCAGGATTAAAGAGGTTTCTGGGACAGAGGCTTCGTTTGCTGAAACCATAATTTTTTCTATGAATTAAAATCTTTTTAATAACTTAGAAAATCATGAAAAGGTTTATATGTTTAATAAATTATGCGAATGATTAAACTTATCTATTAAGGATGGAGTTGAGGGGATGATTCCTGCTAAATTTTGTTTCTAAATAAAACTAAATATTCAGTTTTAATACATATGATACTACATCAGAGCAATAAATAAAATGATTTTTGATAAAGATCCTTTTAAACAGGATCTGCTCTCAGTTGTTGTTTGGGGCCCTTTTTGCATCATTGTGGCGTAAAAACATGTCACCAGAAGAAAACATTAAATAAAGATGTCCTTGAAGATTGTTGCATTCATCTTGCTTTGCCTTTTTACTTCAGGAAAAACCTGATAGTAGAGTGGTGGTTTCCGTCTCTTTCAATAGGAAAGGAGGAAGGAGGAATATCTCTCATTTTTACTAAATCTGAGGATACCTGGTGGATTTGTGTGCCTGCATTGATGGACATGAGGGATTTCTGATCTAATATGATTCAGAAGCAAAGACCAAACCCATAAACTCTGTGGCCTCCAGGTCCTGAATGCTTCTTCCTGATGGTCTGTAGAGTTTAAACAGTTTCCAGGTGATCCCGCTCTGAAGACCACCCAATATCTGGCCAACAACACAAAGTTCATCTATTGTTAGAACCGGTGCAGACAGACAAACAGCACATTAAAAAAGCATCCTCTTTCACAGCAATGCAACAAACATACAAAGAGCCAGAGAGGAGTGTAAACAGCCCCAAACACAGAGCCTGCAGGTTTACAATCCGAGGTCGCTGCTCATTCATATAACTTAGGCAGATTTGAATAACTCCCTACTGCTTTTACGTGTTACTTTTAAATGTTAAGAGCATAGAAACATCAACAGTGAGATGTAGGAAAAGATTATAACAAGGCTAAGAGAACTTTGGACAAGGAGGTGAATGCTCATAGCAAAAGAGGGAGGCTGCAACCAGGGTTGGATCTACCAATGATCTACAATTTACTGGAAATCAGGGGGAAACTACTTCAGATAATAATTATTAATATGATCAAAGCAATAAACCCCCAACAATAAAACGCTGATGGTTTTACTTATATTGTAGCTGTTGAACATTTTCCCATCCATCTATTATCTGTCAGTTGGCTACATCTCGGACAGGTCATTTCTGGGAGGAGTCTGATTAGGCCTGGATTCCAGGACATTTTTAGTGCAGGCCAATAGTGCTACACACTGCTTAATGAGTATTGATGATGCACATCTTTCTAATGGGTGAATGAATTATTGCGAACCGTTTCACTGTTTTAAGTAAAAAAAATCAAACC